TTGTTTAGAGCAAACAAGGCATTAAAATGAAGTTTTATCAACTTCATGCGAATCCTATGCTTGTTTATTGTGAACAAAAATACTTACTTGCAGAGATCTCTACATCTTTACATCATATTACTGATCGGCATAGAACATGATCTCATAGTTTTGGAATTGAAGAAGAACGTTGGTTGAACATTGATAAGACTGAACGTATTTGTAGACTATGTGATGGGAGAAAAATTGAAGATGAAGATCATGTGTTTGTTATTTGTACTAGATATATAAGTGTTAGAATGAATCATAAAGTTGTTGTTGAGAATTTTTATTCTCTACTATAGCTTGAGACTTCTTATTTAGGTTCTTTTATGATGGATGTGATTAGTTATCGTTCTAGTGCTTTCGACACTAGCTAGAGGGTTCTTTTGGTTCTCTCTTGGTTTGAAGTTGGATTGTTTATATTGTGTTTTTTAGCCTTTTGACACTGTGACTCCCACGGGCTTGATCTATTTACCATTTACCATAAACAATATGCAAAAAAGTTGATATTGCTTCAATTATGGATTAAGTTGGTGAAGTTTTGTCCATATAGAAAAGCGTTACCTAGTTCATCCGGAACATTATTATAAGTTTTGCATATAAATATTTATGTTTTTGTGAACAGAACTATAGACAAATCATGTATTGTGGTGTTGTTTGATGCGTATTAGTAAAACACACTCTCACACACACATAAACAGATATTATACATGCATAATCTTTGTTTATGATTCAAACGTATTGTATTTGATGGAATAGATTATCGATTTAAGATTGTCAAAAAACACAATCTTGTCTATGCCTTCATCAAAATAAATGTTTAAAATTTTTTTTTAAACATTCTATCATATCGCAAGTTTTGCATTTGGATATAATTAGTTTATACAATTGATTAATTCTGTAAATAATATTTATTTATCATACTTTGGATTTGGTTTAATTGTCAACAGTTCTAATTTATAAAATAGCGTATGTTAGATATTCTTATAAGACTTCCTGCAAAATAATCATGCAAATTATAGATGTTACAATCATCAAAACATGAATCAAAGTGATATTGTTAGAAACTAACTTCGGTTTTGACTAACTTTGGCTAGTTTAACCATGATTAGTTGGTTCAATTAATCGAGCATTTTATAATGGTGTTGAATGTAGCTCTTGGTGATACAATAAGAATTTTCATTAAAGCAGAAAATTTTTTCCTTGCTTCGAGATTAATACAATCAGGTATACCATGTGGTCTTTTATATGTATTTGTTTTATGTCTTATCAAGTACCTTCACATTAAAGCAATTGAAGAATATAAATTGAGTGCATAACTTTCAACTAGTTATAAAGTATTGTCAATCTAACAATAAGTTAATAAATCAGAAAATTTAAAAAATCTTCATTTTGAATCATTAAGTTCAAAAGTAAAAAATAAGTAAATCATACATGATCATAAATATCATAAATAAAAACTTGAGTTAAATAGTTATATTTTTATTGATCTATAAATCATATTCAAAATAGTCAGATATTATTTCAAAAAGTTCAGATTAGGATTGTTGATTGAATGTTACATGAGGTTAGAAAAAGGCAATACGAAAGGAATAAAGAGGAGAATAATTGGATGGAAAATGCTTCCCTTCTTATTTCAAGTTTTTATTATAAAATTTTTATCTACCTTCAGTATTTTAACATAGTAGTAAAACTTCAGTTACATGGAATATTTTCAAAAATGGCAACCAGCCTCATTATGTAATTTCAAAGTAAATTAAATATTTAATCGAAAAATTTTATCCAAAGTGTAATAACCAAGTATTGAGCTCAACCCTGAATTGGAAGTTTGACTTGACGGTATACAAAAGCACATTTTTAGTTTCCAACATATCCAAAGTTTTCTGTTTGATATGTCTTATTAGTTTGATGTACTATTGAGTTTGACAAGTTTGGTATGTTCCTAATATTAAGCTAAATTTGTGTGTTCGAAAGTTGTCATTCCTTTGAATAAAATTTTCCGGTATATTCAAAAGATGTGATAATCAATCTGATGAATATCTTCTAGTCAATAGTCAAACAATCTGATTAGACTGGAATGAACTGTTTTCTTGTATGAAGCCAAATTTCGGAGCTCAAAAGGGGAAAAGGCTCACATAAAGAGACTTCTATGAGCCTTTCCGAGGTCCAAATTCGTCTCATGACTATCTTGAAATAGAAGATGGTGTTGGTGGTGGGCCGAGGGGACCTTCTGTGAGATAGCGAGAGCCGGAGGAGAGACTTGAAGAGAAAAATTACCAGTGGCTTTTGTCCGCCAATTGAATGCACCGTGTCGAAAGTGGGTGGAAATGCAAGCACAATGCTAGTGGTAGTGGGAAGTTGCAAAGCGACGGCACAGGTTCCGCAAGAGACTGTACGAGCATGATTTCAACACACTTGTCGCTGCCACACGGGAATGCGGAAATATCCACACTCGGAAGCTTGTACCTCATGGGACAAAAGCAGAGGGTGTTTGGCAGAAAAAAACTATTCAGCCGCTAGGATCTTAGGCGAAGAATCACCTCACCGAGGAGCGAGGAAAATAATGCAGCAAGGAAAACGCGATCTTCCGTCGGAAGCAGCTTATCCATACCGACCTTGCTTGCTTCTATCAAAATCTTCCGCCCGCAGTACAAGCGCAGTACAAGGTGCTAGTCAGTCCAAGTCGGTCTTCCTTTCTGACATCTCTCTTTCATGGAGTCTGCTGTCTTGGCGTGATGCCGAAGTGATGCCGATGTGATGGCCCATCGCCTGCAACGCGGCAGTACGTCAACTGCAATCATCCCAGAACTTCTTTCCCACTCATGACCTTCTCACTCCATACATGTTAATCGAACTTAGCTAAACCACGACGAGGCTTTTTTTAGCCAGAACTCTCGAAAGGTGGACTGGAAGTGGGAATCGAATCGGATTTCCGATCCTAGGCTAGAAAACTTGGTCAATATGCGACATCCATACGCCTTGACGACACGAGCTTCACACAAGGTAATGCCAAATATCCCCCAGATAGTTTGATATTAGTTGCGAGCATTTCGGAATGTTCAGCAACAGTTAAGCTCAGAAGTCATAAGTTGCGCTTTCTGTAAGTTGAGCTGATCCAGTTTGTACTGTCTCACCGAAGAGCAGGTCAATCCATGACCTTCAGCACATAGATCTCAACCAGCAGATTTGACTATCTGAGAGGTGAGAAAAACTGCAGAGATTTTTATTATTGCGTTGTTTCTTGTAAGTATCAGGACAAGTCAAATCGATGGTATAGTGGTTTGATCCCTTATGTCTCTACTGCATGTCAGAGCAGTAAATATACACAGATGGAAGGCAAAAGCGATGGGATTGATGCAGACACTCCGATGCTAGACGCAGTAGAGATTGGGAGGCCCAAAAAGTGCAAGTGGAAACAGTCGAGGAGCTAGCTCCTGTAGCGTGTCAGAGTGGTTCACATTAACAATTACATTATCTCTCGCCGCACTTGGAATGCCAAGAAGGACAAAAGACTGCACCCAACATATTATGGTGGAACATATTCACATCAGTGACGACTCGGCAATCTTCATCCTAGGTCAAATGTGATCGGCATTTTTCAATCCCGACGACAGGCAATAGTTCAAAGTGGTACCAGTAGAACTGATCACAAGACAAAACATCGCACAGTGAGGGGTAGCAAGCTATGTGCCTGGCATCTCTTTTGTCAACTCGACCGTCGTCTAGAATCATCCTGTATCATTAAAAAACACAACTACCCATGCATATGCCACATATTACTCTTGGTCTACTTCACATACTTTTGGTCAACTATATATGGCAACTATTGTCACCCATTTGAGATATTGACACAAATTCTAGACCCGCTTGTCACAGGCAGAGGTCAGCAAGGTATGACCGCATCGACGCCACATTCTCAGTCATTCGAGACTAGCCGACTGAGGAGGAGAAGACCTCCTGAATGAACGCAGAACACGAGAAGATACAAGGACGGTGGCAGAATGTCACATCTTTCACACTCGTAGTGAGCAATAGGAGCCATGATGGGAGACAAGACAAACACCGGTAGAAAGCCACAATACCCTAAAATACGACGAAGACAAATTGATCACATTTTGAGACCAACATTCTTAGAACGGGCACTCAACAACACTGATTGGACTTTCTGACTAAGTTGAACTCGACAATGCACACTATACTATCTAAAAACAGGTAGACTTTAGCGTAAGTTTTAACACAGAGTTGGCAGCATGCCCATTCGGGATGAATGGACATAAAGAAAGCAGCGGGGACAAACTTTTCTCTCGCTACGACCAACATTCTCTAAACATTGAGTGGAATTATCTGAAAGAATTTATTGTCAGCACAGACTAAAGGCACTTACAGCAACCACGGAAATTTTGTCTAGAGAACCAGCTACCAGCATGTGTGTTAAGGACAATGGAGATGAGGGTGTGGTTTCAGTCATCAAAAACCCTCTGCCACTTCGAAAGGATGAGATCGAAGTGCATTGGAGGTCTACATATACAACTGGACACATGTATGTCATTATTGACACATGCCACTGACGAGCAGAGAGAAATAGCTCGACCGTTTCTCGATACAGATGTATTCACGCATGATTTTCGTCCCGAATATTCTGCGAAACCCAGGAGAAAACCGGTATGGCAGGACTGCCATACCGTAAAGGCATACAGCCATAAACAACCCGAGCATGAACCTGTCCGACATGAATAGTGCTCGACACATGAATATTTTGTGCATGAACTTATCTCGATAGGCGATTTTTCTCGCATGGCTCAAGCAAACTTTGAGCTCCTTTTATTCACTCGCTAGTTCAAATGAACGGTTTGGAGTACCCAAACATAGGTCAAGGAGAGTGCTCCCTTGGAGAAAGGGACGATAACCAATCAAGATCAATCATAAGCATGAAAAATTGGACCCAAAAGAAAAGTCGATACTTTCAGATGAAACTTTTACCAGCTTGATTATACAAATACAATTTGTGACAGAATGGCACTGCCAACCAAAGCAGCTATCCCTACAATCTTCTCTATCTGTACAGTATTGACCACTTCCATATGGTCATTCATTCTTCATCTAAGTCTACATCTGTCCCTCGGCTCTAGCTTGAGAATGTCGAATCACAAAAAAAATTGCCTAAACACTAACTGTATACACGTATCATTCATTTTGATGGCTTTGATCTTGCTCAATGAAGGTCAAGGCATCCTCTCTACGGATAACGTCCACACGACTTACTCGATTTTTGTGTGTCACACCGTACACTCGGTCGGCAACCTTCACGAGCTCCGGTCGGAAAGTAGTTGTGATAAACTGGGTGGTGTCCGAGTCTGCTTGCCTCTTTATCATGTTCCCTACTGCCGTTCGGTACTGTGGATCCAAAGCAGCATCTATCTCATCAAACAGATAGAAAGGAGCTGGGTCACATCTTTGAATTGCGAAGATAAGGGTCAAAGCAACCACAGTCTTCTGCCCTCCAGAAAGTTGCTTCATCGACTGCGTTTCTCCCTGTCCTGTGAAAGAGACCTGGCCCAATACATGTTTATTCAGTTAGTCATCATGATATCACCGTTACGACCATAAGTATCTTACAAGCATTAGAAACTGTTGATGACTCCCTTGTTTGGATATGCCACTTGGTAAGCGTTAAGGAAAAACTGATAGGTACCTTCACTTTCACTCCCACGTATTTCTCAACTCTTCCTTCACCATCACCGTCGTGATTTTCGTAACCATCTGCATCTTCATCCTCCGCTTCGTCGGCCTGCGATATAGGAGGAAGAGAATTAAGTACAAGTTGCAAAAGAAACCCTAAGGAGATGCAGCTAATAAACTCGTGCTCTAGACTGACAACACCAAGAAACGCACGAAGTCATCATAGACTGGAGATCGAAGACCTTCCCTCTTCACAACAGCTGGTTTGAGTTCCAGACCTACTGCGTTAAGCTTTCTGTCATAGAGTAGGATGATCACGCACAAGCTTAGAAGGCTGATCGATCACGCACCTTCCTTTTTTTCATCATGACCAAAGACCCATGTCCTCCTTGCACTAGCTCAGAGAACGCCTCACGAAAGTTTTTTGCCACTCCCTTGAATGTCCTTTCAATCGATTCATCCTTACGTTGATCCAGCACAGATATTAACTCCCTAATTTTCTGATACAAGTGACATTTATGTGAGTAGTAAACAATACACTGCGACATCTAAAGTACCAGGTTATTTAAACAGCATTCAGTTTCGAACGACTCCGGCTGCAAATTTGTCATCCTCATTTACGTTAAAACGCATGAGGCACTAGGTAAAATGATACATAGTTTGAGCATTAACTGAACCAGCATTCCTATCTTTGCAACTTTTTGGAAGAGGCAAATGAAGCAACCTTGACTCCTACCTCATCTCCACTATCAAGCTCTGCCTGTCGTTGATGCAGCTCTTCCCTTTGTTCAGTGAAGTTGACATACTGATCCAGCGCCTTCTTGTTGACATGACTGAACTTTTTGAGCTGTTCATTGCATTTGTGAAGCATTTTATGCAATTCTTTCAAGTTCTTCTTTTGGTACCTGCATGTTCATCACATTTGAGGATGTACTAGAAATGTTAGTCTATTCACGAATATAATTAAGCTTTGTAATCTGGATAAGGGTGTATTATGTGGGTTGTAGTTTAATATCGAGGCCCTGGCCTTAAGAAGCAGTAAGTACTGACAGATTATTACGAAACTCACTTCTCAAAGGCATCCGAGGGCAAAGAACCGAGATCACGAATTTTCTTCATCAGGTCTTCCCGCTTAACTTGAAGCAGGTTACGTCTGTTCAACAGCTGCTCAAGATCCTTCGCCTCATCTTGGAGAGTTCGCTCATAATTATCTTCAAGGGCCTACATGAGGAAACAATGTTAACTGTACACTTCACAATTTGCCTGTCAGAGACAAAAGAAGACCATAGCTTAGCGGAGTTTGTAGTGACCTTATGAGCTGTGAGAATGACAGTAAGCGACATGGTAAGACCGAGGGGCCGGCTGGCACAAGATACCGGACCATCTGGGAGAGAAGAGGTTCCCTCCATGAATGAGATTCGTATGAAGCAGACAATTAGTGGTTTTCTTTTTTCGGTTCTAAAATATGTAACCAGGAACCACGAATCATTATAAAGATTAACAAATCAGTTTAATGAACTATCTCATTGCCAGATGGACCGAACGACGAGCCAGAAAGACCTATGTGGCTTCCTCGATCAAGAGCAAATTGCCTCGAGTGACCTCTGAAACACTGAAGAATACAGAGAGTTTCTATCCTACAAGCGACGTGGAAGACAAACAAGTCCTGTAAAGAGATGAAGTAAGGGAGTCGCTGACCTTGATTTCGTCCCTCGAATTCTTTAGTTCTCTGATCTTTTTGTTATACTTCTCTATTTGATCGGTCGTGACTGTTTCACAAGAAAGTATCCTTGTCAGAAACCTGTACCTTAGAGGAACTCAAGATGATCTAGTCTAAGGAAAAAGGGACAGACTTACATTTTAATTGCCCATTCGCTTCGTCTACCGCTGCTTTGGCGTCCGAAAGCTCCTGCCTTTTCATTTCAAACTGCGTCGACATTGCCTGGGGATCGATTGATGCGTAATGAGCCTCCAGTTCCTGCTGTCTCCTCACTAAGTTTGTTGAAAGAAGAGTTTCGAGTTCACTTTTTCGTGTCTCCGCCTGCGGAAACGATCGATGCACATTAGCTTGCTCTGATCAAGATTCGTGACGATCAACTACATCAATCATTGTAGTTTACTTTCATGTCACCAACATGAGCTCTTCCTGTATTTATTAAAAAAATTCTCATTACATCAGACATACTGAGAAGAAGGAAGATGACTCAGATAAGCAACTCAGCCCCACCTCCATTCGCGCTGTCTTAAAATTTATGAGCTCCTCTTTAAGCTGAGTTATTTCAGGATTTAAGCAATGGAGTTGCCTTCTCTCCTCGTCCGTCAGCTGATCAATAAGGTCTGTTCCCATCTCTCCGTAACGCATGGCTATACCATTCTTCAGGTTCTCAATCTGGCTGTGAGCTCTTCCCAACAACAAGTGCTGCAATTGAAGAAACATGAAGGAAGTAACAACAACCCGAAAGTTAAGCGTTGACAGTGAGCACCCTATATCATGTTATCACACAGTTTCCTCAAGGTATAAGGCACGTTCAACCGCAACCACCAACCCTACTTTCCCAAGCCATTGTCGATATGGGACTTAAACAGCTCCGAAAATCCAGCTGAAGTCGGCAACAATATGCACATAGACAACTAAGAGCATGAACTAAAATGGTTGTCAACCGACTGGGAAGGACTGACAAGGAGGCAGATGCTCCTCAATATAATAGGTAGAACTTTCGAGTTTTCACTGCAGAAGTAAAATTTGATCAGCACCGCATGCCTTCATGCCTTCAACTTTCGAGCAGCAACTTAGTGGACATACCTTTTTCTCAAGGGCTTTAACTGTCGAAGCCTGTGATTTCTTAGTATTTGCTATATCACTCCTCAGCTGATCAGCTTCAGACTTCAGGTGAACTTGCTGCGCATCAAGCTTTTGCTGCTCGCTTACTACGTTTGTTATGAGCTGGTCCGTCTGTGTGAAACGTTAAGGTCTGAAATAGGGACTAGGATAGGAAACCAACAAATCATTCTTCACATTTTTTAAACAAGTTGGTGTTAGAAGATCTGGCATATGCCAGATAAAAACGTGAACTGGATGTAAGAATCACGTGAAAAGGGTGCTACTTACTGCAGATCACGAGACAGCAACTCCCATACATGTCTATAATCAGTATGTTTCTTGACGTACGTACTTTAGAGGCCTTGATATACAGCTCCGACAATATTCTAGAATATGAAGGTAGAAAGAAAACTGTCATAAGTTGGTCGTAAGGATATCTTGAAGACGAGTCCTAACTTGCTCAAGTTCCGCCTGCTTCATATTGATATTAACAGTGCATTCTCGAATCATACTCATGAGCTTCAGTTTGGACCTCCGGAAGTCGTAAAAACCTCCCGTCATGCCTCCTTTCTTGCTTACTTGGTCACCTATGAAAAGTTCTCAAAGGTTCTGAGTAACTAACATGTCGACGAGACAAAGAAAGTCAAGTCAGATCTGAATGCTAAGATCATACTGGTAAAATGCAATAAGATCCTCGTACCATCGAGTGTGATGCAATCAACCTCCGCATTCCTGGCGACATTGGTGGCGACCTCGAGATCACGACATATAACTGTCCTCCCAAAAACCTACATTATGATGCAGAAATCATCGTACAGGCAGCTACAAGGCAAAATAAAAATTGATATCGCACCAAACACACTCTCATACTGTACATGCCAGGACATCCTTTAACAACGAATCTAGGAGAACTCATTGAACTACAGATTCGTCAATACGTAAAACATATGAAACGCAGCACAGCCTGTTGATGTGTGCGTGTTTCACCTGTGCGAATGCTCCATGAAAAGGTTGAGCGTAATTCAGCTTTTTCAGCAGTGGAACAACATCAGGTCCTGCTGGGTAGCGCACGTCAGGGGCCCTAATTCGATTTAAGGGCATAAAGGTGACTCTCCCACCTTTTTGAGAGCTCAAATACCTAATAATCCGAGTTGAGATGTCATCGTGGTCCACAACAACGTGAAACAGACTACAAAAAAGTCAAGAAAAAAGGAAGTCAGAACCCAGAACATAGTACGTGCTTTTGCAGGGACCCCCTTAAAGATAAATGACAGAAATGAGACCTGATCATGCAAAACACTTACGATAGTAACAATTCATACACTTTTATACCTTTGTAGCACATAACATGCCTTTCATTTAAACCCTTGTCAATCTCTTTTAGATAGGATTCCCCCTAAAATTTCGTCATAAAAGCACACAGCATGCTGAGAGAAACAACACATGAAGGGTGCGAAGTAAACCTTGTCCCTGCAGTGACCTCTACCGCCGTGTAGAACTTCTCATCACAATCCAGCAGCTCACATATGGGCCCGTGTACACCACGTATATCATGGTCCTTGCAGATTCGTTTGATGGAATTCAATCCTCGTCTGATGTCCTGAAGAGGCAGTTCGACAACGACTTTGTAAAGAGATAGTGATGGGCACAAGTAAACTAGAAACGATTACCTTCTCCAGCTAAAGTAGCTGATCTCTAGTTAGTTGCCACATTAAGTGTATACAAACTGCCCCTTGTGGGAGATATAAGAAGAATTAAAAGTTTAAGACATTTTATGGCTGGTTTGCTCACCCCTGGAGCAGCATGATCCAAGCTCTTCTCTGCTTTTCCCAAATCCATCTTCAGCTTCTCGACCTCACTCATGAGGTCATTCTCTTGTTTCCAAAGCGATCTGGCGAAACAGAACATCATACTGTAAGTCTCTGTCGATGAACTAACGTAACCATCACCACATCCAATACAAGGGTTAAACATGCGGCTAGAAGGATAGCATTTTCATACAAACAGAACTTGATAGAACCTCCTTTGCCAAAAGTCCGGCATTTGAAGACCACGAATGTTATTCAGGGCAAAAGGACATGAGTGCCTACTTTCTCATCTCTTGCAGATCGTCACGACGTGCTTTCAAGATACCAAAGTCCTCTGCACACTTCCCAACCTGACCTTCTTGCTGCTGTAGGTCGCTCATTCGAATCTCTACATTCTTGGATTGCTGCTGGTGTTCTTCGTTGAGTTTTCGTATCTCCTCTTCAAGCGTTTCCACCTGACCATGAGATGCACACAGCTGTCAGGACTCCAAAGTTTGAAAAGTCGCGGTGCGTTGTGTTAGATTCCAAACCCAAGTTGAGAAACCCAAGATGACAAACAGATTCTAAAGACGAGAAAGAACGATAGTTCTTTCTCGTCTCTACTACCTTAAGACGCACTCGCATTACAAATGTTATAACTCAGACAAATATAGATTAAAGACTAATGAAACCTAGATACGTGACGAAACGTAAATAAGTGGAAAAAATCTGAGTGAAACAAGGTTATAATTTACTAAGTGGATCCATAAGGACAGATACAAAAGTAAAAGTATGTGATTCGACGTATTCCATATGTGAAGCAGACAAACTGTAAGCTACTTGAGGGAAGCTTGAAGGAAGAAAGTCCCATGGTAAAATTAGGGAAACAGCAGCAACTGTGTCACGTTCAAGTAGCATAATGTAGAGGAAAACGACTTAGCGAACTAAAACGAGGAACCGAAAGGGTAAACAGTACCCACTCAACAGTTTGCAAGCTTGAAACCTGAATCTGAAGCTGAATAGGTACCCAAAGGCCATAATCTGTAAATCCTATAATCAACGTATAGCATATTTAGCAAGATCGGGTACAATTCTTAACATAGGTAGCAGGAATTATGACTGACATTAGAAAATGTTACAGCACACTAAAACGTGTGCCTGCAGATTTATTTACATTATTAGGATTATTGCACATGTAAAGGAGACAAACTGTCACCTACTTCAATGAAACTTGAAGGAAGTAAATTCTGTAGTCCAGTTGGACGCTGTTTACATGGCGTTGGACGCAAACAGATCCAGGGCGAGGGAGATTTATAGATGGTGAGCAGTTAGAAGGGCGAATGAAGTCAAAACAACAAAAATATATATGGCCAACAAGGAAATAACAATCAAACTGGTAGAGAAGTCTTAACACATACCATGAAAACTACCAAGGAAAAGATGTGTGTAGTCAAAGTTATTAGCAAAACCGAGATACGAGCAGCGGGACTGTGACTGATCAAACAAAGTGTCAGCAAGCTGAAGCTCTATTAAGATTTATAAGATTATAGATATAATTGCACATGTGGTGAAAACGAGCTTGAAGGACCCTATTCAAATGAAGCTTGAAGAAAGGGAATTCCTTACAAACCAGTCCGACACCAATTATATGACTGGAAGCAACCCAAATGAAAAGCATTCCAGTCTGAGGTATACTTGTTCTTTGATGACGTCCCAAAACAGAGATTTTAACGAATTTAATGAGTAAAGTTTACAGGTACCCTGGAAATGACGTCGACAAGTACTGAATAAAATTCCATAGGCTGTAATCAACGCAGAAAGTGAGCGTGTGTTATCAGAATTAAGGCTACACGTGTAGGAGTCAAGACGCTCGTATTTTTCCCCATTCCTGTCTCTCTACGGTCATAACAACTCGCCTAAAACGGGACGACCACAATTAAGAAATACCAACCTCCTGGTTCATTTCTAATATTCAAAAGTGGCCAACGCAAGTAAGAATGTTCTGACATAGTACTAATATTTGAGCGAATAAACTGCCGCTTTGTATGTCTTAAAAGAGAATTGCTCAAGTAGATAAAATTAGGTCAAATACACTGAGCCTAGTAAAGATCTTCTATTTGAAGTGTTTTATAAATTTCCTCGGTTGGCGAAGGCTCACAAAAGGAACCGGTCGGTTGTTCCCAAAGTAGGTTATCAGAAGTGTAGATAAGGTTTTAAAACCAATTTCTATAGAGTGAAAGTTTTATGGTCTGTATACGTTATGGAAAATAAGCCCGTAAAATCATTATGTTTAACTCAATTGAGACTCAAAGATAAGCTCAATTATAGCACTATATCCTAGGTTGAAAAAACCTGACAACCACGACTGGAAATGTCTTCTCATTGTTCTCTTTACTGTGAAAAACTACCTCAAGCGGTCCCTAGACCGACAGGCTTCAACGGCAACAGTTCAGTAGGAGCACAGTAATGTTCTAAGGAATTTACTAGAAACACCCTCCGAGGCCACAAGTTAACCTGATGTAATACTTCGTGTTTACAAAGATGGGGACAAAGATTACAAAGACAAGAGCAAAGATGACTAGACCAGAAAAAACAAAATGACAAGAAAACAAGTAAATAACGAGCTCCAGAAGTTGACTATTGATTCCTACAGGAAATCGCACATATACTTCTAAGACGAAAGGCTAGCTCGTTCTTGTGTACGGACTGATAATTACAGTTAAAGAAGTTGACAAGTTTCAGTCACCTTCTATGGCAACGTGCTCAAAACAGTACCTGTTCTGAAATGCTGGCCATGACGCGCTCTGAATCAGCGATCTCTTTCTTCAGCCACTTGTCTCGAGCTAGTTTATTTGCAAACTGAGTTGTTCGCCCTTGCTTTTGGTACAAGATACTAAGCTGCTTCTCCCGATCGGAAATTCTGCAAGGCACACAAGACTTAGTCTGCATTAGAAGTTAACTCAGCACGGATTAACGTCACAGAATTCTCTCTAGGGCTCAAGATTCAGCCGAAGCATTTGATTATTGAGGTTGGATGAAAAAAGTAGACGAAGATTAGAATAATGTAAAGCGGGAGCAATGGGCAGCTTGAAGAGCTGGAAAACGAATGTTGCTGGAATCGGGCACCAATGCGTCATTTGTTTTTTAACCTGCTATACGTATATTCGTATCACGTACAGGAGCTACTTGGTCTTCAAATGTCATGGCTCTACAAAAGCTGGTGGCTCTAGGTTCAAATGATAACAGCATCAATCACAATCTAAGCATACAGGGATAGGAAGAAGTAAATGCGCGGTAAATGACGGTAAGAAGCGGTTACCCTTTGATGATCTCCTCTTCTTGAGCTAGCAGTTTCTCATACTCAGGATTAACCTGCTCAAGATCACTCTTTGATCTCTGAATGTCTTTCTCAAGCGCTTTGAGTTCCCTAAAAACTTCATCCTGTAGAGACAGACAGGAAAAGTTCAGAAGCAAGAAGCCGGACTGTGTATCCATCTTTCCAACGCACAGCATGAGTTCAAAAGAGTCTCGGGAATGTTAATCAAAGAAAAACTTTGACGTCTTCGACCAGGTAAAAATCTGCTTAGTGAACAGGCAATATAGAAGATAAATTATGGGCTCTCAATATAGCATTCAACCCCATATTTTCAACATGCTTGGTCCTCCTCACCTTTGTCTTTGCCTCAAGTCGGATACGGTCTTCAACATCTCTGACATCTAGCTCAACTTTGGCGTACGTTTTGAGAGCCTCTGTTTTTTGTCGTTCAGCCACCTCCTTCTCTTTCATGCTTCCTTGAAGGTCTTTACTGAGAGTCTTCAGTTCTTTCTCAAAAGTTTTCAATTGCTCATGTGAATCTAGAACAGTGTTATGCATGTTGGTGGACTTCTCAGAAACCTTGGCTCGAGCATCTTCGATCTGCAATATTGACCTTCACAGTGTTCAGAATAATGGTCTCCAAGATTTGAGATCCTACTGTCACAAAGAACAGAGAAACAGGACGCAGAAAAATCTCGAAAGTCGTGAGTTGATGATAATAAACATTAACTTATGAAAATAATGCCAGTATAACTTGTGTCAGACAAGTTCACAACTTAGGCGTGAGCACATGACTTGCCACACGACATGTCTTGATATGACAATCCACAGCAAAAACAGGGATAGAACTGCTAAGAGAACCAACCTCCTCCAGCTTTTGCCTTGCATCCAGGAGTTCTTTCTCAAATATGGTGTACTCCAAAGATCTTCGTTGCTTGTCCAGCTGCTGATACTTTCTCAACTCCTCCTTCTCTTCGTCCAGCTCTTTCAGCCTCTCTTCGATATACTGCACGACTTCGATAATCTGCTTTCGCCGATTTTCTATGTATCAAGCAGACAGGAAACTTATGTATCAAGTGTAGTACTACAAACTAAGATGGTTCAACTTCAATTAAACAATTGCTCATGCCCGTAATAACTTTAACTTTTCATATGATACGAAGAAAATTGATCAAGGAGGTCCTCTGATAGCCAGAAGAATAGACGCAGCTTACCTGTATCTTGCATAATTTTTAGACTCTCTTTCCTGCGCTCCTCGTACACACGCGTACCACCAATTTCTTTCAACAGGTCGAGACGTTCTGAATCCTTCATTAGTGTCAGCGAGGCTATCTGCGGACAACAAGATACTCAGCACTAAAGACAACGATATCCAGCCTTCGGGTAGAACGTATCATAGACATGCAATTTGCACTCATATGAATAACATATTACTCACCGAAACTTCGATACGCGTAAAGTCTACATACCTTTCCTTGTTGAACAACATAATAAGGATTCGAACGAGAAAATCCAGCACTTTCAAGAAGATTCATCACCTCCGTCTTTCTGCGTAATTCAAAAACAGATTCTGTGATATGGTCCAACTGCAGAAGCGTTCATTTGCACTGGCATGGACACATTGAATTACCAACTAACTACAGCTCATCAGCAGAATAAATTACTCGTATGAATCTATATTCAAGAATTAGGTATTCTAATTTCAAGAAAATCGAAAACAAAAGCGAATTCAATAGTTACAGTGTGACAAATGACCGGCTTTCTTCATACAGATTATTTATATTGCCGTACATATGAGCATAGTAAACAAAGACCGGTAAATATATAACAACGGACAGATCAAGTGGATCTAGCATCTTCTCATACAAGCAAGGTGAACCAGCCAAGCGCCAAAAATCTTACGTTATGTGCTTCTTGTCGAGGAAGTACTCATCCTTCTTCAGACCAATAGTTCTGCGAAGTCGAACTTCTTCTCTATCGACCTGACCAGCCAGATATCTTTACGTGATTACAGGTACAATATTAAGCATTCCACAACTTGCACTTTGAGAGGAGAGAATTTCACACTCCTAGCTTAATCCAGGATATCCTTGTTGAAGACTTCAAAACAGACTTACAGGCATTCGATTGTCACTGTTGTCGAAAACAATCTCAACGAATGCGGACATGACCTGATTACCTGCTCCTTCCTGCAGATGTGCGAAAAAACAATGAAACACCATGGTGGTTACTTTGTATCTGCGTTCAAGATCTCCAAAGCCTCCGAGGAAAAAAGTCTGCACAGTTCTGAATGTTTGAGAAGACTCACATGTAACAAAGCTTGTCGATCTTCCGCCCGAAGATTGTGGAAGAGGTCACTGAGTACGAAGCGTATAGCTGCAAATCAGGAGAGATATGAGGTAACTCAGATCCAGCGCCCCTTTACCAGCTAGGTGAGATAAATAACATGTGCTCGGGCCAAGGAACAAGAAAACATACCGTGAAAAAAGTTCGTCTTTCCTGAGCCATTAGCACCAACTGCAGGCAAAAAAGGATGAAAGATAATATTATAAACCATATGAAATGAAAAAAAGTTGCTTTGATTCCAGCCGAAGTAACTGCTTAAACAATTTGCAAGAACATTCTGTGGTTGTCATTGAAGGACGTAAAGTGGAAAATTTGCCTTCACGTCTTCGTAGTCGCCCCAGACTGACCTCTAGCATTATACGGAGACAAGGTCCCAGTTTTTAACCATGAGCTACATACGAGCATATCGTTTAACACCGGATGATGATGAAAAAGAAAACACGACCAATAGCAAGACTGTTTCCAGGACATGATCTTTTGTAACATACCCACACAGTTGTGTCTAGAACTAAAAGGCTCAGTTGCAACTTGCTCCTTATAACTCTTGAAGCCCTCAATAATGACCTGCACCGCAAGTTTCAGTGTTAGCCAACCTTCGTGATGAAATCCTCCACAAGGGTCAGCTCTAAAGTAGAACTCCTGAGTCAAAAATAAAATTTTAGCCGTAGAAACTATCAAATCAATCGCGTAAAGTAGCTCATACACCTCACTACTCCTGCCTCCTTTCAGTGAGAAGAGTAGCAAAAAGTACGAACGGATCATTTCTGTATAATGAAAACTCTTTTGTAAAATACAAGGACAAGACAAGTCAGTTTGTGTAATGGACAAACTCGAGAGAATTCCAAGAAGGCACTGTAGTGTCCTACCGGTTGCATTAATAAAAGCGTTCAATCGAACAACATAATTCATGAACATTTCTTGCACCTGACCGGGCTATTCCATCATCGTCCCCCAAACGGGCAGCAAAAAAGCTCACGACCTTCTGCTATGACTACATGAGCAAACTCCAGCATATGGTAAAATCTTCTGAGCAAGGAATATGGCAAACATCCATCTAAAGCACGGGTAGGAGAGGTTCCCAAAATTTTCTCATTCCCACAAACTTGTCTAATTGTTCAACTGGTGAGTCGAATTGTTTAAAAATTCCACAATGTCCAGAGAGAAAGTGAAGAAAAACGCACCTGCTTGATGAACATGGCGTCTGCGTCGAATCAATTAAAGAAACGACGCGAAAAAATAGAGTCAGTCTGCAAGCTCCCAATTTTCAGAACGAAACTCCCGGGCAATTTGTCAGTAAATGAAAGCTTCTTGCGCTGGGCACACGTGCATTCCACGAGCACCGTAAAAACCCATACGCATACTCCAAGTATCGCCTCCTCCTCCGAGGAAAGTAACGGACAGCGTTGTCAGCTTCGGACACTTGTACAGACAGACTTCAACCCTAGACTAAACCCCCGTGCTCTCAGTCTTCGAGTTATGGCGGGGAGAATGGCTTCTGTCGATATGAACAAGGAACCCCGCGCTTTCTCGAGCTGCGTACAAATTAGCGCAAATGACGACCAGACTACAAACTGCATTCACCAGGGATTAGCGCCATGTAATGAGCATTCTCCGTCACGAACTTTCTCCCGAGAATACGTACAGAATACTCTCTGTAAACAATCCGCTAGCGACAAACAACTCACCACTTAGTTCAGTATATATTGATAATTTCTATGACCTTCATTGTACCCGCAGGTACATATAGAATGTACTGTACCCGCAGTTGCGATACAAGTTGAAGCATTTGTCCCTATGTCTCGGTCTTCCACGTCGAGATCGCTCCACACCGAGGCAGTCTAATTATGAGCATATTCTCACTCTGCCCAATTATAGGGCCGTCTGTTTTCGCAAGCATCTTCTGTCAATCCTCATGACAGACTTCAACGCGTATAACGCCAATCATACATCATCTGTGGGACTCATAACGAGGAGGGCGAAATTGAATCAGCCTTCGAAGCCTCTAAGAGTATGCATCCAGCGAGCGAAGTTCTATCTTTTGCAAAAAGCCCTTTGATCACTATGTGTACGTTTTAGTCTCCCATTTCGCTCTAAAGTCGAACGACATCATTAGTGACAAGAGTTGTAAGCTTCTAAAATAATATCAGCATAAGTCACATGGGACTTTAGAAGGCACTATACAAAAATGATTATGTGTTTCTTAATGATATGGAAGAACGTAAAATGTGGATTTTAATATGAGAGTGTTTTACTAAGAATATTATGGAAGAACGAAAAACTTGGATTTTTATAAGAGTGTGTTTTAGTATTGATACTGTGGAAGAACATAAAATAGGATTTCTATGTGATTGTTATAGTTTTTCAAATGACTATCTTCATACCAACTTATAACTCTAGTTTCATACTTCTATTAGAAATAACAGATGATTCCAAGTTTTTCCCAGACACAAATTAGGATGAATATCTATCTGTTTTTAGTAGATTCAACATTTTTTGAAATATCTTGTAACTGGAATCTTTATTTCAATTGCTCCTTGTAGGTCTTCTGAGTTGAATCTTTTATTTATGTAAGTCCTTGTCAATCAATATATATTATCATATCATTAAGAATTTACAATAGAATATGTGTCACATTATATCATATTCAATTCAAAATTTTCAAAAATTCAAAATAATGGTTTTAAAATTATTTCTCAACTCAATTCATATATGCACTTATTTTGTAGATTCAGATTTTCTCATCATACCCTTGTAATTTATTTCGTTGAATTCTTTTCCAGTTAAAGTATAAGTCCTCATGAATATAGGAATTATCATCACTTATAATTAACCTTACTTTAAAACTACAAGCCTTCATAATATCTTATTTATATACAATCTATGCATAGTTTTTCCCGATTTTTAGAAATTTTATATGAATATGAGTACAAATTCAATAATAATATTAAAATTCTATTTTGTAAACTATTGTTTCATCAGTCTAAATTTATAGACATTGTACATACAAAATACTCAAATACATTTATGATAGATGTTTGATCTACTCAAATACTTTTGTATCATATATTTTTAAAAATGTACATTACTATATTTATAAATAAAAATCAAGAAATACATATAACGCTTATATATAATTTTTTAAACAAAAACGTATAAAAGTCTTGTATATTTTATCTCATTTTGAATACATATGTATTAATCATGAGAATTATATTTTTTAAAAAATAAATAGATCTTAGGAGAGCTGAGTTAATTTTACTTATTATATCCTATTATGAAATATATGTGATTATTGAAATCATAGATAGTTCAATTTTCTTATTTCGATTTATCTTTATATTTCATTAGAAATCATAACTTTACCATGCCTAATCTTATGTAAGTGTCAAGCGATTTATTGAGACATATGTTATCTAAATTCACTTAATTCATAATTAAAAAATAAAGTGTATTTACAGTCATTACATCCAAAAAATCACATACTAAATTTTATTCTTTCAAAATATATGATTGAATTTTCTGTAATATATAGCCAAAATACATTACATAATATATTGTAATAAATAACATCATCGTAGATCAATGATAAATTTTAAGTTTGCAAAGTTTGAAATTGTACTCAGCTATCATTATATTTCAAATAAAAGCAAATTCTAATTGAACATAATAATTAAATTTCTTTTATAGAAAAAAATCAGTTTATTTGAGATTTATATGCATATTTAGTAAATATATATACTCATCATCAAGATGTATATATCAATCAATACAGCAATGATTATATCATACTAAAATACAATAAATCAAAGTGTGTTAATTTTAGAGTATATACAAAGTTTTTAAAACATTGAACAATATGCACATCAAGATTTTATGTGTTTTCATAAAAACAGAACAAAAATAATCTCATGATAAGATACAATTTTGTGGCAAATCCTGTTTATTGTTTGCCCTCTAAGGCTTCTAAGGCAGTGTACACTGCAAACTACATTAATAGAAGTAGATGTCAAAATTATAATTTGAGTATTAATTCAAGTTTCAAGTTAAATTTTAATTAAAGTTAAATAAATCAAATTTAGTTTAAAGTTAATTTGATGAACCTTAATTTGAAACAGAATTAAGTTCAAATTTAAATATAGGTAAGGTCAGTTTATAACTTTCTGCATAACTACATATAAACTAAGCTCACCAGATCTACATATTATGTATTTGCAACATTTATCGTGCATACGTGATTTTTTTCACCTGACTGATATTTAAGATGTTTTATGGGTAATGATCAAATTTTTAGATTTGGAAAAAAATCAGTAAGAATTTCTTTTAAATGAGCTTTTTGAAATATATTTTCCAGATATTACAATATTTAGCGTAGATGTAAAAAAAGATGGAGATAAGGCCGTCACTGGCATAAATGAATATTTAGTGATTTGTATCCCTTCAGATTGAGGTAGAATATGATGGTGTTTCTCAACATAACCCTGGAACTGATGACTGATCTCAAAGGTCTTTTTTAATGTATATATGTGAACTCCATGATTTGTGCTTTACTTGTCGAAGAATAACTGCGTGGAGTTAAGTTAGCGAGCCGATTGCGCCAATGTGAGGTGCGTCCGGAGACCATCATAACCGTGAGTGTCGAAGGAACGCAAATGTTTCCGTCATTAGGACGGATGTCGTCTTACACGTGGCTTCTCGAGTTCCCTCAGTAAGGTTTGAGTGCACTCGAAAGGGAGTTCCCATCTCCCTTTCCAGCTGACTCCACTCTTGCTAGGTTTCAGAACTGGCAAATTCATCGAGGTGATAGCTCTCACTGTGCACGTTCACCACGGACAGGCCGAACCTCAGCGGTAGAGTAGTGTCAATATTCAAATGTGGATTAGCTCAGGCCGTGCGAGAGCTCTGATGCCTTGATTTTGTGGTAACCTCGTTTATTGTGCCCAGGTCAAGTATTGTTGGTGTGTTCGGCGGGCATCTAGTTCTGATGATGACCAAAACCTGAATTGATGACAGATGATCCTTGGCAGATTGGGAATACTATTCTGGAACCTCGTTCTGAAGAATGACAGACTATTATAAGGTGCTGGGCATACGTCGTGATGCCAATGCAGCGGAGGTGAAGACAGCGTTTCGTAGGCTGGCCCTGAAGTTCCATCCTGATAGGCATGTGAATTCATCTGATCAGAGTAAGCATAGTGCTGGCCAGAAGTTCAAGGAATTATCGGAGGCGTATGAGGTATTGAGTGATGAGAAGAAACGAGCAGTTTATAACCGAGAAGGAAGGGCCGGATTTAGGACACCGTATGGACGAGGAACTTATGAGAGAGAAGAAGCGCATCGGCGGACCGCTGGAGGAGATGCATGGAGAGCTCAGTACGAGCAACAGCCATTCCATAGCGCAAAATCCTATCCCGAAGGAGTGTATAGGGTACGTTTTCGATGGCCATGGAGTGCTCCCTCGGGTTTGTCTAGGGCTGATTATTTTCTCCATGGTTTTATTTTTTTGGTTGCAGTGATCGGCTTTACAGCCGTCGATAAGGCTTTTGACTCTATTTGGAAATCGAAAAATACTGGGAAATCTTTCGAAGAAGCTATTGAGGCTGTGGATCGTGGAAAAGAGAGCAAAACTCTCAAGGAAGAAAAGAACAAGTGACGTGAAAAAAATATCGTCGATAAATTGTTTCAGTAGTTCTTGCCAGAGAAATTCCATCGATATTGTACATATATTTCTTCATTGGTCATTACATGTGAAGCTACAATTTTAGCTTCGATTGGAAATATAAAATAGTTAATGAGTTTATCAGTCAGTGCAGTGCAGATGTGATCTCTATCGTTACCGGGCCACATTTAAATTCAACTTCCAGTGCACGTCAATACGAATTCAGGAACATAGGTAGGTTGTAGAAGTATATCTTGTTACAGATCTTGCTGTGCACTTGACCCGCTTGCACAGAATCGTTTCTGGTACCTGAAGATTAGTCATGAATCAATATGCATGGCGACATCCACCGAAAAGTAGATTCATGTGACTGGAAATCAATTCGTCACTATTGACTTCTTTCTCCTCATTCAAGGTTGAAAGAGGCGGAGCTTGTATTTGAAGGCCACGCCATTGGGCCTTCAAGGAAACATCGTAAGCATTTCATTCAATGTCAAGTATTCAATGGACGTACACAGCATTACTCAGACACCTGCAATAGGCTTCGAGGGAAGAGGTAGCATGTGTTCGTGATTCGTAGGGTTTAGAAATGCGGTCCACCTTAATCTTTTATATACCAAACAGATCACAAATGACGTACTAAGAAACTGATCCCTCATTGTCCACCATGTATTACCCTACACTCCAAGCTAATTAAAGGTTTCTTGGTTGACCCCTGAAAGTTCGGACTGACCTTGGTTTATGCTTGTACCACTCCCTGCTACGAAAACAGACCTCTTTACCTTCATACACTTCAAAATCCCAATCGGTCACTACTAGCATGAAGATTCAGTCTTTAGCCATCAGGCTATAAACGGCAAAAAGATAAAGAAATTAAAACAGAAAAAAATAATAAAAATAAAGATACAAACAATACAAATCTGTATTCTTGATCTTGGTATTAGTCACTGATCAGTGTTCAGCATACATGTGCACTCAATTCCCAGAAGAAGACACAAATCTCATATTTACTACTGCCCAGTCTCCGAGTAATTATAAAATCCTCTTGGAACCTACTTCACTCCTTGTGTACTCATACAGTAGGTGAAGAAATGTTGCACTTTTAGTGAAAGTAGCGTTTGTTGTTACTTACAACTTGCCTCAATTCTCTGATGGAAATCAAACTTCCCGTAGTACCCTAATGGAAACCTCATTGGCAACATACCTAGTTCTGGAGAAAAGGAAAAACATTCTCAGGAGTGACTTCAATCAGCTGCACAAGTTTTCTCTCGCAATTTTATCAGATCGTGGAGACATCAAGACAGCGATAACGGGTTATTGTCACGTGTCTAGCATTCCCCGATTTGAAACCAATCGATTCAAATGTGATCATGTCATGAGGATCCACATATATTTGAAACGGACAAACAGAAATGGAGTGTGTTCCTGCTGGAGCTTCTGCAGTAGTGGAAATTTTAAATCTGTCATACTTTTTATCTAGCCCACCTGGGCTGAAAAGAACATGTAATGCCCAGCTTTCACTATAAAAAGTTTGTGCAAAGCTGTACATTTCAAGCATCACCAGACCTTACAACTTCCTTGTAACAAATGCTTCTCTGTTACAAGAGTATAGAGCTCTAAAGATTTGCATAATGTGCAAAATTGATAAAAAGAAGTGCTCAGGAGCACGTTGTACCTTCTCCGCGGAGGTGAGATAGATTCTTCACATAGAAACCATGACTCATGTATTATCTTGTAATCATCCTTCTGCATGAATGGTTTGCATGAATGAGATTATAATCAGGTGATGTCCACGTATCTGGTTTAGCTGCTGCCAATCAAAATCCTCCGCAAAATATTCTGGTGTTTCCTTTCCGGGCGTGATGTACTGAAGTAAGCAAGCAGTTCTACATTCATCTAGAACTGCTTGCATGCATCTTCTAAATGTATTTGAAGCTGATATACTAACGGCGAATCAGTCCTTCTTGTGCTTGTTTACTCTCCGGCCCTTGTATTCGTTCACCTCCTCCTTCCAAAAATCGAAATACCAGCTGTTAATTCGTTCACAGTCAGCTTCCGATTCCGAGACGAAGCCTGACATGTACACGGGTATAGGACCTTCTGACCTTCCTCCAAAATGATTCTTTGGCTTCTTCTTCCTCTTCTCTTCCTCATTAAATAACTTCCTCTTCTTCCTCCCCCGACCTATGCTAGCATGACTAGAAGGGCATTCGCCATCAGACGAACCTACTGCATCCGAGTCGATGTCGCTTGAAAAGACTTGTTCTCTGACTTGCTGCTTCCTAGCACTTTCCATCCCTGTTTCCTTTTCAATAGTAGAAGAGCTGGAAAAAAACTTAATGACAATATTATCGACTGATTCCGATTTGACCCAAACTGGTGCTTCATCGCTCGATGACGTCACTTCATTGATGGGTCTGACCTCCTTTGTATCGGCGTCTAGACATACTGATACTGTCTCTGGCACTTCGTTGGTCGATGACGGACTTTTACGAAGAGCTTTATCTCTACTTGGTACTCCCCTCGATCCTTTCGGTAAGGACGCTCTAACATCAGTCTCCGAGATGATATCATTAAATGAATGATCACCAGTGTGTAGAATTCTCTCCGAGGAAAATCCCCTAGATTTGTTGAGAACTACTCTGCGTGTAAAGCCTGGAGCCAAGCTTGGCAATGTTCTCGGCCTGGGGGGTCGACTACCGAGCTCTGCATCTGTATCACTCTCAGAGCTCTCATCGTTGAAAAAGTCGAAATCCTGAGCTTCTTCGTCAGAATGAATGACGTTCTCATGATGACGCCAGCGCTTTCCATCTTCAATTTCTGCCTCGCTATCACTCGCACTCTCCTCTTCATCTACGTCGTCCTCATCAAAACCAAATCCTTTGTACCTGTGGTTTTCGAGTTTTTGACCTAATCTACCCAAAAAATCAGCCATCAACATCCTCGTCTCACGCTTGGCTTTCTGTTCAGCTATCCCTGACGCAACTTCTGCCCAGGAGAAGTAAGTATCTGCATAAGCACTTAGAACTCGCAAATCTCCGACAACAATTGTGTGCAAATTTCGTTCTCTTGCCAATTTTAGCACTGGCGTGAAATCGGAATCGTCTGATACCAAACAAATGCACTTCACCCCTTTCTTCACAGATTTCGTAATGTGCTCTTTGAGTGCAATGTCAGCAGCCTGGGGTTTGTCTTCCACGGTTCTCACATACACTCCCGCTCGCCTCAAATCCTGCATCAGTCCATAACCCACCTTGGGTAAAATGATGGAGCGAGCTGCCTCTTTGTACTTGGTCATTTTCTCCACATTGTTATCCCAAAATCTCTCCTTCTGCTTCTTCTTCCCTTTGAGCGATTCCAAACGATTCATGCGCTTCTTCTGTTCCCTCTCATGGAGCGACTTGAAGTGCTTGGTGAGCTCCGCTCGAGTCTTCTTCTTCGCTCCACACACCCCACAAACATAAGGCTCTTCTGGTTTTACCAACCCCTTCACTTCCAGCTCATCCAGCATTTTCCTTTGCTTCCTTTCCTCGTGAACCCAAGTGGGCACGTGAGAAAAAGCATGATGGTTAGCATATGCAACGACATCCACAACATCACCGAATCCGGCAGCCATTTCCATCAATCGCGTCGCTGCTTTGAACGGAGGGACATTCTTTGGAGGTTTGTTGTCCAGATCCCAAAACACACCCACCGTGCGCTTCTTCAGCATTGGAGGCGCGTCAGTCACAGGCTCCGTGCTCTCCGTACTTATCGATCGGATTATCGGAATCCATACACGTCCGGTGCAAAATTCTTCTGCAACTGGAGCAGTAGCTAAAGCCCTCCGAGCAATAGACCTCAGAATTAGAGCCATCCGAGAAAATTTTCGGGGCAAAACAAAGCTACCTCATTCCAAATACACCAATTGATCATATGAATTCGTATCAGATGACAAACTGTGTGAAACCCTGAACGCCATCCCGAAGCCAAACTTCAGAACGAAATCCCCTTTGTGAATACCAACGACATCCATCAGAAACATGAAAGTACGATTCGTGGCTTCAAGAATTTGCTGAAGCACCTCCCTTCAACCCGCTCGATGACCTACCCATTGGCACGCTCTGCCGCACACCCTTGAGCCGATTTTCTCGACGAGAGCAAGTGGCCCACCATAAGTATCACCAATTCTGCTTCTCTGCTGCGAATTACCATCTTAACACTATCAATCACGAGAAGATTTCAGCATAACCCAGCCATAGATGATCTATTGCAGCAACGTAATGTGATGATGGGCACTTGAAATTATCGAATTCATCAGTAGTGGCAGCACCCACGGCGGAAACCAGAATCACGGAGTCCATGTGGTGTCTAAACCTTTACGTTCATAAAACCCTGCTACTAGCGCATGTGGAGAATGTGCACTCCGGCCGGGTCGAGTGAGGGTTCTGGTCACAGAAGTTACAGCAAACTGAGTTGACAACTCAGTCCTCACAGATTCAATACTCGAGACCCTCACTATTGGTACTCTGCATGTTACCACGTACTTTCAGGTTTGGCTTATACATCTTCATAATTTTTGTTCGCCTTTGATATGGTTTGATACTATTTCAGAAAAGTAATAGTTGACATGGCAAAATGTGATGGGAAGTATCTATTATACCATGATGTGACGTTTGATATGTTCGAATTTAGATAATTTTCATAAATTTAGCATTGTAATTACTGCAATGGATTTGGAAACTAGATGATAAATACTATAGGCTCAATATTCTGTGAGTGGATGTTTTTCCATCTTTTAGTATTGATATGGAATGCAATTTTACATATCATCAAAGCATAGAAATATATGAAGATTCAGTAATTCTTCTATTTTATATTTTTTTTGACATATGAAAATTTCTATTTATAGTAGAATGTATGAGTGTCAACATATATGGAAAATTTGGATCATAGGTTTTCGTTGCGTTAATGAGAGTGATTTCCAGCGATATATACACATATAAAATGACTTATTAAGATGCTAATTATATTCGTACATTACTTGATCTAGATGTATAGTTGGTTTACTCAATGCGTTGTGGGATAATGATACTATGAGACCACCCCTTCAGTTTTGTTTTCACATGGTTGGTTGTACACTTGGCACTTTCTCTGATAGATCCTGTTCCATATCCAATTATGATGACCACACATTTTCCTTTGTTGAGGTTCCAAAAAGCGAATTTTAAAAAAGCACGTGTGTGCACGACTTCATGACTCGTACCCTTTCTACAAACGTATTTATGAGAAAGTACAGTAAAACAACAAAATGGATAGGAAGACCGGTTAAATTTCCTGAAGTTAAATTGTTGTCCTTTATGTTTGGGTGGAACTTTATTTTCCACGGAGAAGTCTTTTATTCAAGTTTCTATCTTCGCTCGCTCCATGATGACCGCCTGTAGACCTTGCGACTGCTCACTACATACTGTACTCTCGTGCGAAGCGGCCGAGAGCTTTGCGTTCCAGATTTACTGTCAGAGTATAGCTACACTGAACGTTTTCTTTGCCTCGAAGTAGTGGATGCGGAGTAAAATTTTTGTGTTTTACCATTGCTGTTGACAGAAACTGAGTCCACGAGGTCCCGGAGTTTTCAGTTCTCCGGCAGTGTATGCCAGTGACAGTGTGGGGAAGACCGTAGGGGGAAGACCGTAGGTTCAGTCCACATCGAGTTTCAACGTTGAGTTTGACCGCAATTATGCTCAGCAGAAGAGTGAAACCATAGTTTTAGCCGTTAGAGGAGTGGAGAAGAAAAAAACAGAGGTAAAACTTCCGAAATCGGATGGGACAAGAGCTGAAGCTGCTTCGGCAATGACATGGTCGGTGGGCACGATCCTCGTGAAAAGATTCGGATCTATCACATGCGCATCATCTACGGGCACTGTTGATTCGCATGTAATGCAGATGGCAATGTTTTAAACAAACTATAATAACAAAAGGGAGTAGAACAACCCATCGAGTAGAGTAGTAGGATGAAACCAAAGGGTTGAATATGGGCTTTGGCCCCATCGGCGAACATGACCAAACATATTTCAACTGAATACTAAATTAGTAGACAAACATCACGGGACCCCATAGATATAGTTAATTTCCCAACAAATGTTTTCTATAAATTACAAGAAATCTTATACCTTAACTTTGGTATACTGTAATATTATAATGACTATATTGACTAATACGGCAAGTACTCTTGTATTGCAAAAAGAGGTGTCTAGACCCAGAGCTAGTATGGAAAAAACTCTTGCATTGCAATAATCGGTGTTCACATCCAGAGAGAGAGAAAAGTATTTCCTACTCTTATCACTATATTTGGAGATAATGGCAGTGGCCCATCCATCATTTATACGCTAAGAAGTATGAAAGTTTGGAACTGCTGTATATAGAGGTTTGCAATAACCCTATTTGGTAAGCTAATAGCTTACCAAACATGCTCCCTTGCCAAAGAGGTTTGTATGAGAAACTCGATTGGCCCGTGGAATGTGGCATTTGCATGTCAACCAAGTCACTGTCCTGTCAGATCTTTCAGGCCGATCCTGTCAGATATCCGAGTGACCATAGTTTGATTCTGGTATCAGAGCTCGATGTACTTGTAGTATATAAAAGGCCTCCGAGTTCACTCTTCGACTGGAGCAGAGTTCTCATTTTCAGTCCATCCACTCACAAAGCAAAAGCTCCCGAATGAGGTGCCTCGGGACCTAAGAAATGCCATCAGAATGAAGTTTAGTTTCTCAGACTTGTGATTTCGGCTTGTAGCCCGGAAACAATCACTCCCACGGGCATAGCTTTTCATTTTGTTCGCTACGGATTTGCACGAGTTCTAAGGTTTCTGAAACAGGAGCGTGTCCCTCGAGGTAAGCGCTTGCGTTTTAGTGTTCGTTCGTTTTGGCCAGAGCACTTAGATCAATTCTTCACTTCGTTGCAATTGTGTTAGTACAAATGCTTGCTTCGAGTAGTTGGAGATTTCGTCAGTGGCCCGAGGTCAATTTGTCTCGAAGAAACATGGCGAACGTTACAATCGCTCGCCATTCGCGTGAGTGTGAACTAGGTTGACAATTACACGATTTGAGTTCCCAAAGCTTCCAGCTGCCGATATCTGAACTGTGTTCTGTTCACAAATCTACGATTGTCACATTGGAATCGACCGCAAGAAGACCAATACTGTAATTCGTGCCTTGCAGGCAGCAAATTCCCATTGTGGCCGGGGATTCTCTGAACCTGAGCCATGAAGTACCCCAAACTGATATCGCCGACAAGCGTGGGAAGGTGCGACCTGAAGCACCGAGTGGTAATGTCACCGCTGACAAGGCTGCGGAATGATGAGGCGACGGAGGCGCCCGGCGAGATCAACAAGCTCTACTACTCACAGCGAGCAAGCGAGGGAGGCCTGATTCTGTCCGAAGGCACTTCCCCGAGTCCAGGCGGAAGGGGATACATCCGCGCCCCGGCCGTGTTCAACGACGCGCACGTCCGCGGCTGGAAGCTGGTGACGGACGAGGTGCACGCGAAGGGGGGCTTTATCTTCTGCCAGCTCATGCACGCGGGCCGCGTATCGCATTCGACGCTGCTGCCGAACCAGCAGCTGCCAGTGTCTCCGTCGGCGATCCAACCTTCGGGGTTGGTGCACATCCCGGGGGGTAAGAAGGCCCCGTACGAGGTGCCACGAGCTCTTGATGTAGAAGAAATTCCTGGAATTGTGGAGGAGTATGTCGTCGCCGCTCGCTGCGCTATGGAGGCAGGATTCGATGGGGTGGAGATTCATTGTGGAAATGGGTATCTGCCGCAGCAGTTTCTCGCCAAGCAGTGCAACATTCGGACCGACCAGTATGGTGGCAGCGTCCCGAATCGAGCCAGGTTCCTGCTGGAGGTGACAGATGCCGTCGTTGCTGCAATCGGATCCGATAAGGTCGGAATGAAGTTGCAACCCGGCGTCACTTTCAGCGGCCTGGTCGAGCCCGAGGACGACTGCTTCGAGCAGCTCGCGTACCTGGGTCCGGAACTGCAGATGCGCAAAATGGCCTACGTATGCTTGTCGAGCTGTAACTATGCCCCTTACTTCCAGTTTCTAGGCCTGACGGAGCCTAATTTCAAGAACGATGTTTGGAGGTTTTTCCGCCAGCATTACAAGGGGACTCTCATTATCAATGGAGGATTGTCCCCGGAGAGGGCAGAGGAGTATGTTGCGGAAGGCACTGCCGATTGTGTTTCCTTTGGAGTCCCGTTCATTGCAAATGCGAATTTGCCAGAGCTCCTTGCTGCAGGATTCGAAAATGATCAGTTGAATGCCGGTGGATGGCAAACGAACCTGTGGTATTCGCATGCAGGGCGGCCTGATGAAGTAGGATACACCGATTGGCCTCTTGTGGAACCCACGGTCGCAGCCTAAAATACCGTTGAGAAGTGTATATCCTGTAAGAAACACTTTGTTCCATACCAGTCCGAATGTTTGGCCCCATGAGCGATCAATTGATACTTGTTTTGATGCAACAGAGATTCAGGTGATCTGCATTTACTCAGTCAGCCATTTCCTCGGACTGTACATGACATGAGTAATGTAACAGAAATTTGTGCGAATGTTCAATCCATTGGGACGAAGTTAGTGTCTAGTTACATAACAGGACTAGGAACAAATGATTAACCCGAGGAGAACGCCTTAGAGAAAAAAAAGGCAGTTGAGCTAAAATACAGTGCATAATGTACACTTGCAGTCAAATAGTCGTCCGAGACCGAAAATTGCTAGAACAAATAAAGTGGCCGAATGTGAGGCTTTTTTCAAAAGTTGGAGTTGCACAATCAAGCGGTCCTAATTCATTCTAGTTAAGTGTAGCTGACGCTCTCTATCCCTCCCTCACGGATTGCATCGCAATTCCATCTGTAAGTCTGAGTTCGAGGCTGTAACAAAAATTATCTGTTGTCGACATTTTGATGAAGAACCTAGACAACATATGGAGAGAAAGAGAGTATCTAAACACTTGACAAGTTGAACAAGTAGTAAGAATGCTGCTTTGATACTGTGAGAGTTGGATGGAGAGAGAAAAGTGAAACAGTTAATATGTAATTTAAGAATTTCATTTGCAAATTCGTGTCTGTTCTTCCGGTTCACGGATCTTACTGAACTTGACAAAGTTTATAAAAGAATCTCAGTACCACATGTGTTTCCGTTATGAAGGGGGAGCGCGACTTCTTCCGTACTAAAATTCTATAGACTTTGTAAGATTCAGTAATTGAAATTATTTCAGAATTCAGTTGCATATTTGTTTCCCGTGTGAAAGTGAAGAACTTCTTCTTTCTTGTCATGATTCATACTGAGTTCTACAAAGTCTACATGTGGGTGAATCTCTATTATCATACAGAGAAACAATTTGAGTTGAGGCGGAGATTACTACAGTGTTGGCGTTTCGACACTTGCGTACATTATAAGGATTTAACTTTCAATTCCGGTAACTATTTAACGGAAGTGAAAGGTACATTAGGAGGCTATGAAGGTTTTATGTAAGGAGAAAAATAAGATTTATAAGTAATTTTTTTTAGTTCTATCTAGTTTTACTCTATTATGTTTAAATATTCGATTTAGTGTAAAGAATTTTCTATGTTGGATTTAATTTAAAGTTTTTTTGAAAAATAAGTATATAAGTTATGGAGGTTATTGTCTCCAGACCATGAATTAAAGGGTAGCTTGTTATTATTAAGTCAAGTCTTAGATTAAACTCTAATTGATCTAACCTAAAGTTAAATTAAGTTGAAAGTTAATCCTTCTGTAATTAAGATTTCTACTAATATGTATAAATTGGTTGGCAAGCCATTATGCAAGTTTTTAGTAAAGATTGTGTTATTACTTTGGATGTAGCTCAAGAAACACGAATCATCTATTTCCTTGTCGGCTTACATTTTGGATTTTTCTTGTGCATTTTCTGTAACAAGCCTACATGATTTAAATATAGTATATAAGTGTTGATTGAGTCATAACATTGAGAATTTGCATCTAACGAAGATAAAAAAAGATGTTTTACTCATTATTTCGGATAAGTATTAATCCATAGCCAAAGTCTGGAGATAATGTTTAACATGTTGGTGTGAGAGTGCAAACACTTTCATATCAAAAAATTTTGATTAGTTTATTGCATTTTATGTTACAATCTACTATGTATTTTATCTAGCACTAATGATACAGTTTTAAAAAAAACATACATGGCAATAATATATGGTTGTTTATATTTTTTGATAATTATTGACTTGTATAATTATTGTGGGCTTGTTCACGACGGCCGGGCGCACATACCTGCAAATTTTCAGCCCCAACGGAGCTGTTAGCAAGAAGTTGTCATTTCGAAACTTTGAGTTTAGGGATTTGAGCATGAATCTTGCGGGGGCCATATCTTCTTGCTGGAGTGTAAACAGGAGCTGAGATTTGGTGGGCTTGTTCACTACGGCCGGGCGCACATACCTGCAAATTTTAAGCCTCAACGGAGCTGTTGTCAAGAAGTTTTCATTTCGAAACTTTGAGTTTAGGGATTTGAGCATGAATCTTGCCGGGGCCATATCTTCTTGCTGGAGTGTAAACAGGAGCTGAGATTTAGTGGGCTTGTTCACTACGGCCGGGCGCACATACCCGCAAATTTTAAGCCTCAACTGAGCTGTTGTCAAGAAGTTTTCATTTCGAAACTTTGAGTTTAGGGATTTGAGCATGAATCTTGCGGGGGCCATATCTTCTTGCTGGAGTGTCAACAGGAGCTGAGATTTGATGGCCTTGTTCACAACGGCCGGACGCACATACCTGCAAATTTTCAGCCCCAACGGAGCTGTTGTCAAGAAGTTTTCATTTCGAAACTTTGAGTTTAGGGATTTGAGCATGAATCTTGCGGGGGCCATATCTTCTTGCTGGACTGTCAACAGGAGCTGAGATTTGATAAGCTTGTTCACGACGGTCGGGCGCACATACCTGCAAATTTTCAGCCCCAACGGAGCTGCTGTCAAGAAGTTTTCATTTCGAAACTTTGAGCTTGTGTAACATCTTAAAAAGTTGGGTTCATGATGGATTCTGAAAACAAACTTCTCAATCTTGTGCAAACAGTTTTGGAGGAATTGAAAGTGCTACGCCAAGAATTCAAGGCACAAAATGTTGCCTTGGCTGCTGCAAAGAATGAAATCAGGGAGTTGAAGATTTCTCACAAAAGTTTTGAGAAGATCATGCTCCAAATCTCTGGATCTGTTGAGTACATTCAAGACAAGGTTGGTTCTCAAGCTTCTACTGTTACTACTCCTGCTTTGCATGAAGTGGTTGAAACTCTAGAGGTGAAAATGAAGTCATATGCTGAAGCTACCAAGTCTGTTCATATCTCTTTCTGTCAAGAGCAAGAGATTGAAAAGGCTAATCAATTTGCTCGTATGAAGAATGTGAGGATTTCGGGTCTACCTGAATCTGAGAAGGAAGAGGTGAAGAGTGTGGTCACCAAGTTTTTGACTGAAACACTTGATGTTCCTAATCCGGATTTGGCTCATGCTTATCGTATTGGCAACAAAGGCGCACAACCTCGTGCCATTATTGTTAAGTTTGTGGATCAAGCTCAACATGATATGACTTTAGCTAACAAGGTCATTCTCAAGGGACGGAGTATTTGGTTGGATCCAGATCTTACACCTCTTCAAGTTGAAGCAAGGAGGAAGGAGCTTGCAAAAGTCAAAGAAGCTCAAGATGCAGGTTTTGTAGCTTATCTACGTGATAGTCAAGCTATTATCACCAAGAGGAGGAGACAATCATCAACCTAGCAATCCAAGAGATTGAGGGTGTTGATGTGGAACATAAGAGGCCTACCTACAACTAAGTATGTGAGTGCACATCCGATTTGGAAGATGGCGGACATCCTCAACATTATTGAGACTTGGGAGCATGAAAGTAATGTTATTGGAGAGATACAAGGGTTTACTCTGGTGGGATCTACTTGGAACCATAGAAATCGACGAGCAGGAATAGGCTTTGGAGGCATTGCTACTTTCATCAGATCTGAACTTCTTCCTATGATACATTTGGAAAGCCAAGATATTGGGAAACAATATCATTGGCTTCGTCTTGGATCGATTGGAGGATCTTACAGTTATTTGGCAGTTTGTTACTTTGCACCATTATCCATGCAGATCTACTCCACAAGCACTTGCAATCGAAGTCAACCATTCCATCGGCTCATAGAAGATGTTCTCAAATATCAAGACAAAGGTGAAGTTTTTCTTGTTGGAGATTTCAATGCCCGCATACGTTCCGCTCAATTTACACAATTTGATAGTTCCTTGTCTTCTCACTCTTTTGAAGAAAGTAGAGATAGTTTGTGGTCTAGAGTCTCTTGTGATTCTTGTACAAATGATTTGACTGAGCATTTCTTGACTTTTGGAGCCACTTGTAATCTGAAAGTTCTCAATGGTGTTTCTTTCTTTCCCAACTTTCACTCCAATACATGTTTTTCCTCTACAGGTGTTAGCACTATAGATTATCTTTTGTCCTCTGCCACTAATAGTTCATTTATCTCAGCGTTTGATATTCTAGAGCCTCAACCAGAATCAGATCATACACCTCTTTTATTTACTCTTTTGTTGTCAACGTCAATCCCTCTCCCTACATGTCACTATGTTTCTACTTCCCCCAAGTTTTGTTTAGATGCTAGTAAGAAGCAACTTTATAGTGAACATTTCCAAGACCTCTTGACTTGTACTACTTGGAACCTTGATCCACATACATCTAGTTTGCAACTAACTGAGTTGCTCCAAAACTCTGCTTCTAAGTTCTTTTTGAGACATAAGACCATGAGAGCTAGAGGTCTTCCTTGCAATGGATGGTTTGACTTTGATTGCAAGCAAGCGAGGGCGAGATCACTTGATAAATCCTTGGATCTTCACAATCAGTTGATTATGACAAGACTTTACAAAGACTTGGTGAAGTCCAAGAAACGAGCATTTTTGAGGCAAAAGCAAGAGTGCTTGACAAAGGAGCTCTTGAAGAATCCCAAATCCTTTTGGAGGCAGTTGGCAGTACGATCTTCTAAACCTACTCTTGATCCCAAGTCTTTGATTTCTTTTGCTGAAAAGCTTTATTTTTTTCCCAATGTTGCATCTATGCCACATTGTGAAGGAAATCCAGGCTTATTTTCAGAAGTTGAAGTGATGACTCAACTGAGACAATTGGCAAATGGTAAATGTGAGGATTTGGATGGGCTTTCCATTGAACTTCTCAAGTGGGGAGGAGATGCTATTGGGCCTATACTCACAAAAGTGTTAGAGGATGCTGCTATTCATGGCTTTTCTTCATCTTGGTCTCTACGGAAGATTGTTCCTATTCACAAATCTGCGAGCAAGGCCTTGGTGACAAACTATCGCACTATCATGGTGGGTAGTATTTTTGCCAAGTTATTTGGCAAATTGGTGGAGTCAAAGTTGAGCACATGGGCTGAATCTTGTCAGAAGAGAGCGCGGTTCCAAGCTGGTTTTCGTCCTACATTCAACACTATAGACCATATCTTGGTTTTACGTGTTTTATGGGAGAAATCCAAGGGTAATGGAAAAGCTTTGTTTTGTGCCTTCATTGATTTCAAGAAAGCTTTTGACACAGTACCTCGTGAGCTTCTATGGCAAAGAGTGCAAACCATTGGAGTACCATCAAATCTCTTGGCAGCGGTGGCTGCATTATACCACTCAGTTCGGGCCAAGATCAACACTTCTCAAACCGAAGAGATTATCAGCACCATTGGAGTCATTCAAGGTTGTCCTCTCTCTCCCACTCTCTTTGGAGTTTTCATAGATGAATTAGGAAGGTGGTTGGAGGATGGGGATAGCGAAGGTGTTAAACTTGGAGGCTTTGTCATCAAAGCTCTTTTGTATGCTGATGATGTCATATTACTAGCACGTGATGCCACTAGTTTACAGAAACACCTCGACACTTTGGCTAGCTTTTGTACTCAAAATCAGATGGAAGTTAATTTGGAGAAGTCCAAAGTCATTCTTGTGGGCACTAGATCCAAGCTCTCTTTCTGTTACAAAGGATTAGAGTTGGAACAAGTGAAAAGTTACAAATATTTGGGCATTGATTTCTCATCTGATTATAGTTGGGCACTTTGTGTGCAAAAGAGGGTAGAAGCTGGTTTCAAAGCTCTATATTCATTGCTAAATAGATGTAGAGGAGCTCATCTAGTGTCTTGGAGCCTTAGGAAATTCTTATTCAGTAGCTTAGTGTTTCCCGTTATCTTATATGGAACACAAGTGTGGGGTACTGGTTGTAAGAAGATAGGTTGGCAGCGTTTGGAGAGGGTGCAAAAGATCTTCTTACAAGAAGAATTGGGTGTGAGGACCCAAACTTCTTATGCAATGCTTCTTGCGGAAACAGGTTGTCTAACTCTTGAGGCTCAAGCTCTCTTTTTGACTATCACTTACGTCAAAAGAGTGAGATCTCTTGATGCTTCTCGACTTCCTCTTGAAGCTTTGCGTGCCACACGACCCAAGGGCTGGTTTGCAGATGTGGTGACTTGGTCTTTGAGGTGGAATGTGACGGAACTCGATTGGAATTTGCAACCTATTGCCCTACGCGAGCGTATGAAGGAGGAATTTCTCAGCATTATGTGGAGCACACGAGGCACCAAGATGCAGTTTATCAACTTCATGTGAATCCTATGCTTGTTTATTGTGAGCAAGGATACTTACTTGCAGAGATATCTACTTCTTTACGTCATATTATTGCTAGACATAGAACTGGATCTCATAGTCTTGGGATTGAAGAAGGGCGGTGGTTGAACATTGATAGGAGTGAACGTATTTGTAGGCTATGTGATGGAAGAAAAGTTGAGGATGAAGAGCATGTATTTCTTACTTGTTCTAGGTATGTAGAGATTCGAGTGGCGCATAAAGTTGATGTCGAGAATTTCTTTTCTCTGCTTCAACTCGAGCATTATGATTTAGTTTGTTACATTAGAGATATTATTAGTTATCGTTCTAGTGCTTTGGGCACTAGCTAGGGGGTTCGTTTGGTTCTCTCCTAGTTTGGAGCTGGTTTGTTTGTATTGTGTTTTTTAGCCATTTGACCCTTTGGGTCCCACGGGCTTGATCTATTTACCATTTACCATAATTTAGATGTCTTGGTTTCACACTTTCATATTTTTTCTATATCATGATGATAATACAGTACGGAAATAACGTATACATTGCGCGAATACATGAATTTTTTCCATGTATTGCTTGATATATCTCCTATCCGTCTTATTATTCTAATATATGCTCAGAAGATGACTTTAACTGTAGTTACGAGTTAAAAGTTGTGCGTAGAGGTAGTGATGAGTTGCATAGTCGAGGTCTTCAGTCAACGCGTTCTAATAACAAACATGACGATATAGCGAAACATGACTTATTGTACATGTCAGCATTTCACGTCATTCCTCGTGGATCAGCCAATCAGAAAGGCTAGAAAAGGATGTATGACAAATAAGAGAGATCTGTGCAACTACTAATTATTTAAGTTCTTATATTGAAACAGTCAACCCTCACCCTCAGCGCCAATCAGCAACCTTTCCATTATTATCCATGATCTACATAGAAGTAATTAGACCCATAAAATTCGGGTGACCAGATAAACCGGTCGTGATGTCAAGGCTTCATTACGGTACAACAACGCAAACAAGTCTACGGCATTGCATAATCTTTATATTCGGTGTTTTCCCTGCAGTCCCTTGTTGAAACTCTTTGTTATTTCCTTCACTAATTATGTATTTAGAAGCCATTTTAGATTTCTATGGATTCATTTAAATCATCATAGTTTTGAAGTGAGACATATCAAATTATCATGGGAGTGTTTAATGTGAAGGAGATTTTAAGAAATTTTTTAAGAAAACACGGATTTAATGAACTTGCTATCGACATTTCACACTCTAGAAGACTTCATCAGCTTATTCCGTTCTGGAAATCCCGTAAATAAAATATTCACGGGTCTGATAACAGGATGGAATATGCAAGCAACAAAGTCCGGTTGAAGCCAGTCCACGAACTCAATTACTCTTGAAATAAAGCCATGGGGGTTGTCCTTTTTGGGAGGATTTTACACTGGACTTATACAGAAAGGGTTGCAGATGGTTGGAGTAGAGTGTTCAAGAAACCTGTAAGGGGAGATTTTCTGCCAGCCGGTCAAGAATAACCGATTGAGGCGAGGTCTTGAATGAGCATGATTCGCACGTGACAGTTTATGCCTTTGGCAGACGGCTGCTTTGTCTTTCTTGACGTCAATTATATATGTGTTATATGTTACCTCCGCTTGTGATACACTTTCCTCCTGAATATGTCTTTGAGTCCGATTTGATAGAAGAACGATGGCGAACCTTCCACGCGAGGAAGCTATGTAAATCGCAACTTCATATACTCGGTATCAAGTTCAGTATATTGATTCTCTTTACGCTACAGGGTTATACAAACATGCACAAACTCTATATAAAACTTAGCTAATATATTAAGGTTTGAACAAATTCTTGCTACAAAACGCTTGAAACTCATATCAAAGAAAAAACTCCCCCATTGTGCATGTTGAGACTCTTATTGAAACATCTGAAATAGATTCGATGAAGATATAGACAATGACAAGGGAGATGACTAGATGCTCGGACACCCTCCGTCGGATTCAGCTGTGGTTTGCATTTGCTTACACTAACGTAGTAATTTCCTTAGATTCAAACTGAGGAAGCATTCGCCCAATTTCTAACCATATAACGGAAAAATATTCCTACGAATCGCTTGCCTAAATAGCTCTCGATGTTGACACATAATAGTCCATAGATAAGGAATGTATGTAAACCCGGAGTACTCCGCGAGGACAGTGCTGGACATTCCATGGGAGAAGTCGCATGGATTGCAATTGGGTTGAAGTGGATTGGAATTTCATCCATTGTAAGGGGTGCTGGAAAGACCACATATTTTGGGAAAAAAGAGCAAGAAAGGAGAGAAGGCACAGAGAAATCCAACACGAAATCAAAGAACCCCAAAGACAAAAGTGGAAAACAAGCTGACACAATGCACACATGGACTCGCAGTATGCGGGAGCGTTTGGGGCCAAAACCAGCCCCGAATGTGTACATGCAAGCGAGAGAAAGCACAAGGAGACCGACATTACCAGAAAGAGAGCCAACGATCAGAACCGGGATAACGCGCAGCAGCCAGCGGGACGGCTGAAGTTCACAAGACGCGTCACAGTTTAGTTGTCCGAAAGGCGGACCTGCGCTGCGAAGTCATCTAGCGCTCGCACGTCTCTTCCTTCTTCCCCTTCAATTCCTTTCCTTTCCTTCACTCCGCTTCAGTGCAGTGACCACTACTACTCACAGGGAGGCCACGGTTGCCAACTCTTCACCCTGCTCAAGGAACTCTGCCTCGTTCTGCCCCCAACCCCACTCTCATACCCAACTCTCATACCCACACACACCGCAGCGCTGTCGAGAGGGGAGAAGAAGCGCGCTGGAGGAGAGAGAGCAAGGCAGGGGCCATGGCCGAAGAGGATTTTGATGCCTCTAGTTTTACAAGCCAGGTTTGTGCAATAAACTCTTTCTTTTCTCATCTTTTCTTTTTTCTGTCTCTTCTCTGAGCTTGCGAGATTCTTGTGAAAGGAATTTAAGGCCTGTTTTGTTCGCTGGGCCTTTTGCCTGCTTTGGGGCGGAAGTTGTTTTTTGTGACTGAGGATCCGGGCTCTGGGAAAGCGGAGGTTATTACCGGCTTTTGGCATGTTGATCCGATCGAGCGACTGAGACTGGGACTGGTGGATGCTGTTCTGGCTCGGCTGTGACCGAGATGCAATCCGCTTGCCTAGGGTTTCTCTCCTGCTCTTGCACAACGCGCATGTCACCCCTCCCCTCGCCCTGACGAACTAGTCATTTCGATTGGGGTTGCTTCTATTTCAGTTTAACGTCGAGAATGGAGTACGGGAAGCTTAGCGAGGGAGGGCATTGAGGACATACTATTTTTCTTTCTCTGCGTCGAGTGGTCCGATCTGAGACTGGGTGTTTTCGTACTGTTATAATGGGAGTAGAACCGAGCTTGTACATCTATTTTGCCCGCCGGATGTTATGTACCGTGCATTGCAGTCAGATCTTGCACTTGTGTGTTTGAGAACTTGACGTTTGCAATCAAAGACATTACAGGGCCATATTTAAGTTGCTACGGTTTTGATGGAATAAATGATATGGTTCACAGTAATGTACGTAAGTGTGCACTCGTACGTTATGAGAATATATGTATCCATTTGTGACGGAACCATGAGAGCTCGTATTTCCGTTTAGCTTATCAAGAACTATATGCACTGATATCTGAAGCTCCGTATCTTTCAGTCCATCCCCCCCTAATGATCTTCATCCCCGATCCTCGATTGAGTGGTACGTAGGAGGGTCTATTTAGACCTAGGGATTGTATTCAGATATGCAAGGCTATTGCGAAGTTTTGCAAAAGCTTCTGGCATCCAAGAAGTGCAGCTAAGCTACATTTCGATTTTTTCGTATACTGTACTATACTGCCGGCGGAATTTTGACGTTGGCCTTCAGTCTACTTTTGCTCACAAAGTTGACATACCTTCAAATGGTGAGCAGAGTGGATGTTGACATCTCATGCTCCATCTCTTGCTTTTTGTGTTGCTTTTATCCCCTATTCTGATGACTAATTGGGATTATTCTTTCTTCCCTGAAGTTGTGGCGTCGTCTTTTAGCACTGGTAGCAATAACCTTGAAGTTGGTAAGTCTGTCGTAAAATGGCTGCTTCCATTTTTGTTGGGGCTGGATACTGTTGATGGAAAGTGAGCACTGATAATGAGAAGAAAAAGCTGGAGGCTTTCAGCAGCCAATCATTGCTCAGAGTTCTGGCCGCAGATGTTTGTCCAGTTGTCCCCACATACTGCACTCACCCTGTAGAAAGTCGACGATGGCTTCATCAAATTAACAACGAAGATTATAAGCTCAAATTATTGTTATTATATCCACTCGGCTAACTTCCTTCCGGACTGCCACAAGCTAAAGCAACTTTGATTTGGCCTTGTCTTTTCATCTACAGGGAACATTCTCTACCAAGGCTCCAGATCAAGGCTTCAACCCGGCGCTGATAGTGCTGTTGGTGGTGGTTGGAACCGTTTTAGTCTTTATTGTTGGAAATTACGCATTGTTTTCTTATGCTAAAAAGACATTGCCACCAAGAAAGAAGAAACCAGTGTCAAAGAAGAAGCTGAAAAGAGAACGACTGAAAGCAGGTGTTGCTCCTGCTGGTGACTAAGCTGCGTGCCTCTTCTGGATCCAGGTTCATGACTATGATCTAGGTTCAAAATTGTTCCGGAGATTGAAAGCTAGGTCTTTCCATGTACAATTACAGGCACGTTGAAAAATTTATCAGATTATTGGAAAGCTGCTGTAGAAGGGCTGGTCTCTCCTTTCTATGGATCAACTTATCCTGCTGCTTGACTAGCCGGGCGCTCTGTGTTGTAATTGGACAAAAAACACTTATCATGAAGCCGATGGCGTCTGTGTCGCACGTACTACACCGCTTTGCTTACAGGTTTTACTGGGATCAGTTGTAGCTAGTCTGCTCGCTGTCCTATTTCTCGCAAACCGAGAATGTCCCTTCGCACAGAGGTTTTGACGCCTGTGCTGCCTTTCAAAATTTTGACTATACATAAAGGTGACCACTATTCATGTCGCAATTCTACGTCTTGTTTGATGCCATGTCTTCGAATGCTAGAAATGCAGGAACAGTTGCCCACTCTAGATGTTCTTGTCCGTGCTTAATTTCCGATTTCTGTGGATCCACAAACAAAATTGAAGCAATTTGGGAACGTTTGCTCTCCTTTGCTGTACATGTTGAGGAATGTACAGGATACATGATACAAGTTCAAATGTTTTGGATCGTAGGCTGTCTCAGCATTGTCAGTTCAATAAATGAGCATCGTTAATTGCATTCCTTAGCAACTCTCACATACAGGCCTGCTGAGAACGGAATACCTTGCCAGATGGTATTTGATCCTTTCTCAGGGCGTGGGAGTAGTAGAGCTCGTGAAACGTTACTTGTAGTTCATTTCTGACAGGAGCAGAGGGCGAGTCTTTTCTATAAGTCAAGATGCCATGCCCTCCGCAGTACGCAAAACGTAGCGAACACTGAGTACTCCTAACCAAGGAGTGGATACTCTTCGTCTACCTAATAAGCGTCAATAGAAAGGGGAATTGAAGCTTGAAGAAGCTCTCTATGACCACTCTCTTCAGGCGGCCTTATCAGCTCGTCTTTTTGAAGTTATCCAAGGGAAAATCTCGCTATTATCCACGTTATCTGACAGTAGGTGAGTGGTGAATGAGACTTTCAGAACAAGTCAGCCACGGGAATTCGACGAGGGAGCCAATTTGACAGCTAGAAGACCCCACAAAATGGTCCTAAACCAAAAGCGCGAGATTCATTTCAAAGATTTCCTCCCAGTATGAAATGCGTTAGTGAAGATGTCTTATTCTAATACTGCTGTAACTACACAACAAACCTTAAGTTTGGTCTCATTATATTTACTTTCTGCAAGATTTGTGACAAGCACTCACAACTGACGGTTATGTTCCATCGTTCCATGTCAACGTCTAAGACAAATAAGAAGGTTTCAAAATCCCCAACTCAACAGCATCAGCCTCAAAACAATGTTGCCTCTCCTTTCGGTTTAGAGCCATTACGATAATTTTAAGACGTAAATTTACTTTTTTAAGTCGCAAGTAATAAATACCACGGGAATATATGTTTAAATTGGAATGTCCAAGATGAGGTGATAATGCGTGTGATTAAATCGACACGTACACCTAGAATAAACTGATTCATTTGTTGAACTTTTACGCAAATATTAAACGGGAAATGAAATTGGGTTACATTCCATTCTAGCATTCTATTCAATTTGAGTTTGATTCAATTTCATTTATGGCATCCATGACAAGACTAGACCTGCTACATTGATTAATTTTTACTTCTCAAAATTGAAAGTGAAAATGTACAGCTTTTTATTTGTCTCATTCTTTCCACATGTCTATTTCTTCCATTTACAATTTGATTAGTTTAACAGCATATATAACAATTTCCTTGTATAATCATTGTGAGAAATCTAGATGTGATGAAACACAATAATGTTTTTAAATTATCATCTTTGTCAAATACATGCAAATCTTCTTCGTTTTCTGAATTGCATTCATCTTGTTTGAATCTGTTTTTGACCTTGCCATCTATACAAATGACCAACAATGTTTTGTTCAAATGTTGATTTCGGCTTTGATGGTGTAAGATGTAACTTCTTCAACCAAGATAATACTTTTTTCACAATCTTTAATGTGATACTTCACAACATTGCAGTAGACTTTTTGATCCTGCTACAAGCAACTGGACTATGACGAGGGTTATTGCGGTGGCCTCAGCGCTAAATCCCCCGCAGAGTGGTGAGACTTGTGGAAATCCTGGTGGGATGCTTTAATGAATCCAACATCCATGTATCCATAAAAAAATCATAGCTATTATTATTATTTATAGCGATCTTTTTCTGTTAGTATTTTTGCTAGAATTCTTAAGCACATGACTATGTTTTTAGCTTAGTCCAATCTACATTTTGTCTTTGGTGCTGACTTGAATCTTGGGTGACGAAACACTAAAAAAGGCCACTCACCACGCAAAAAAATCGTTTATCAAAAAAAAGGGAAGGACTTGGTATAACCATCTTATCCACTTCAAAGGGAAATTTGATATGTGATCGTGAAGCACAAAAAACCAATTTTGGTGGCGTTTCCTATTGCTAGGTCCCTTTCAGGTAGTGAAAATTCAGAGTCTCTTTTTGATGCTGCGATCACATAAAAACATAAACTTTGAAGCTCAATAGCTAAATACATGGCAATTAAATCATAAGCCGAGATCATAAAAAGTTACCCATATTTTAGAATTTCTTCAAAATTTTTTGCTTATAGCACGACGCGCTGCTTCAATTGCTTGATATGAAATACGGCCAGCTTCACAACTTTTAATGCCATACTTCGGCTCTTCGTACCTACGGGCGGAAACGGCTTGAAGATTTACGGGCCGGGGAGTTACTTTGATCTTATTCTTCTTCATGCACAGCTTCTTGATGCACACATCATTCAAAATAGCCATAGTCTTTTTCAAAATAAAGTCTCTCAATACTTCATTCATCTCATTATACATATGTGCTAATAAAATTTTATCATCTTGTGATAGTGTGTATATGCTTATAAAAGTAAAAAATGATCTAGTTATGATGACATTTTCACTTAACTTTTTGAGCAAACAAAAATTGTTCAAATCTAAAGTATTATCTTCAATAAAATAGATAGATCTTCTTGCAAAGATTTCAACAAAGTCATTCATAACAAAATTCATTTTCATGTTTTTGATGTTCACTTGATTAGCCAGTTGGATGTCTTGAATGAATGAAAATTGTCTATTATTTTTTGTATTGTAAATCACCGGCTAGAATATGGTGCAAATGAAAACTCTAAAATCTTCATCTCTAACTCTTTTTTTTTAAATAAATGAGTTTTAGAAAATGGGCTGCATGGTGCAAATGAAAACTCTAAAATCTTCATCTCTAACTCTTTTTTTTTGTATAAATGAGTTTTAGAAAATGGGCTGCATGGTGCAAATGAAAACTCTAAAATCTTCATCTCAACTCTTTTTTAACAATTAAATGATTTTTTGAAAATGGGCTGCATGTACTTGAGTCTAAGATCTCAAGATGCCTGAATCACAGTAAAATTATGATATGAACTATCACATCTAGTGTGGTTTGCTTCAAACAAGAATAACTTTTCATGTTTAAAAATCATTCACTTGAATCACTTATTTTTATATACTGAAAGAAAGTTCTTTCTCTATTTTTATTTTTATTTTATATTATTATGATTCAAGTAAACTAGTGTCATATAATTGAAGTATCTTAAGGTGCTTTCTTTACTTGCTTGTTGTACTTGCTATTTGGAGTCTTGAGCAAAGTAGCAGCAATTGATTTCACATTCTTGTCCATTGTATAATATTTAGTTTTCATTTAAATTTATGATGCTTAAAATCACTCATTACTGAAGTAAATTTTTCCTAGAATATGTTTTCATCATTTTATCTTCATCATCATATTTCACCTTTATCATCTCATTCAATATATCCCCATATCAAACTCTTCATAAATTTCTAGAATATGTCTTTCCTCCTTCAAAAGCTTCAATGCAACAAATGTTTGCTCCAAGTTTTGCATTTGATTTTTTTCTCATCTTTTCAAATAAAAAAATCTCTTTGAATGTAGCATTTTCATCACTTGAAAACTGTCTAAATCTTGTACAAAATATATTGATTTTTTGCATATATGAAAGTAACTATCCCTATTTTATTACAATATTGCTTTATAGTTGTACTTTTTCAAAATCCTCATTAGTTTTCATATTTTTTATAAACTTTTGTTCTTTTAATCTTCTCTTTTAAGATTTAAAAAAATTTATTATTCAAAATTTTCAAGGCCATCAATCATTTATCATCTTGATTTCAATTTTGTGCTTCTGCTGATACATTACTTAAAATGTTTGATTACATCTTCAGCACCACAATATATGATTTTTCAATTTAAATAAAAATTAGATGTAAAATTTTCAATCTCTTCAAAAGATTCATCAAATTTTTTTACTTACATATTATGTTTCCAATCCTCATCACAATATGTGAATAAGCTTTATACAATTCTATTCTAAAGTTGATAATTGTTAATCATACATTCAAATCTAATGTTAGTGCATCAACTTCATTGAATATATGACTTTTTGTGTGTTTTATTGCCAATACATACTTTGGATCTTATGAGCTTCATCTATTTATCATTTATATTATAGAGTTTTTTTGACCTTTTATTGATTTCTGATCATGTACAACAAGCAAGTAAAGTAAGCACCTTAAGATACTTCAATTATATGACACTAGTTTACTTGAATCATAATAATATAAAATAAAAATAAAAATAGAGAAAGAACTTTCTTTCAGTATATAAAAATAAGTGATTCAAGTGAATGATTTTTAAACATGAAAAGTTATTCTTGTTTGAAGCAAACCACACTAGATGTGATAGTTCATATCATAATTTTACTGTGATTCAGGCATCTTGAGATCTGAGACCGGTACAACATTAGGTATCATGAATACCTACAGTTGTACAAGTGTATTGGTTATAGAAAAGATTTTTTGCTAAAGTACGGATTCCGTATGTTTTATATCTCAACAAAATAAGGATAATTTTCAAAACAAAATACAGAACTTGACAAAAATCTCTCATGTTTTCTTCAATAAAGTCCAAATTTGACGGCAATGTATTACACCTTCGGAAGAGCTAGGTGTTGTTTTTTTATCTATGAATATCTTTTTCCAATTTTAGCACTAAGAAGTCACTTTTCATCGTTGTAGTGTTAGGAAATGAGCAATCTATTCCTCCAACAAAATCCATGAGTTAAGAAAATCTATTTTTAATACTTGGAATACTCCAAGCTTAGCTTAAATCAGACTGTTCATTCAATCAATTCAAGGCAGTCCAAAATCAATGTTCTCGGTTCACAAAAATCACATGTTGTTTGTGTTCTTCTACTATTTTATCTATGTCATCTGGTTTCCAAGAAAGTTTGAGACGATCTTGATATTTTAGAAAAAA